ATTCCATTTCTGACAATAGATGCTCCTTAATGTTACACACTGGACCGTTAATTTTGCTACAGTTGCGGTGATCCTTAGCCTGCGGGCTAATTAGCTGACTAACAAAGCAAAACAAAAATGTCAACTGGGCTGACTTTCTTACTCAAGCAGCAACTTTGAATGACTTGAAACAATGTCTAAATTTATTTTGTTGCTTTTAACAACAACAAAAATTGCCATTATCTGCCTCCAAAATGGGGCTAGCCATAGTTGTCAGGAGATTTGTGACAACCTGTGTTCTACCACTTCTACCACTCGGCCTCCTCTCTTTCTGACTTTCTGTTTCTGATTGTCTGCATGTTTTTCTGCAGGGAGAACCAGGAGAAGATGATCTACTACCTCCTGTTGGACAGGAAGGAGCGATACCCCAGCTGTGAAGATGAGGATCTGCCACCTAGAAATGACATAGGTGAGAACCACTGACAGTATATATAATGGACAGAGCTTCCAGGTCTGTGAAGTAAAGCCAACATGGTGTGTCTTAAACATGCATTCTGTGTAAAGGCCAGCAGGGGGCAGCTCCATTGGATGCAAAAAAGTCATAGTATGGAGTCTTATGGGGAAAGGACCCAACTTCTCACTTGATTTATTAGTTCGCTTAGCAGTTTCAGTCTTATTCCATACAGCATGATGTTCATTCAGTAAATGATGGTCCCATTTATTTTTTAAATGGATGATAAAGCAGGGTATGTTTTAGGGGATGGCTACCTTAGGTTCACACTTGAGAACACTTACTTCAACCCTTGGATGGTCAAGAAGAAAAACAAGATAAAAGCTTGATTTTTTTACTATGAACTTGGCTTTGACCTTTTAGAATGTCACTCCAAATTTCAGAAGAACTTTTAAAGATGTAAATGTTAAAATCATATTTTCAGTGTAATATTTTTGTCATCCAAGACCCACCCAGGAAGCGCGTGGACTCCCCCATGCTGACGCGTCATGGTCGCTGTCGTCCAGAGAGGAAGAGCCTGGAGGTCCTCAGTGTCACAGACCAGGGGTCTCCCACCCCACCTCGCAGGGCCCTGGACACTAATGCACACAGCCAGAGGTACAAACCAGCACTGACATATGATGAGAGTTAAATTAATGGGAAAATGATTGACAACAGCTATGTAAACACACTGTTCCAAGCTCAACTTGGACTGAACTGATTATTATTTATTCTTGCTGTCTTCCAAAGGTCTCGTTCAGTCAGCGGAGCGTCCACAGGTCTGTCCTCCAGTCCTCTCAGCAGTCCCAGGGTAAGAACTTCCTTTTATCCTTTAAGTTTTACTCTGTTCAACTGTGAGATATTTGTTGCCTCTGACCTACAGCTGCCTCAGCATTGATAATCAGAGTGAAATGATAGGGTTTGACCAGATGTCTGGAGACACAGTTCAACTTTTAGAGACAAAACAACCATCCTTGTGTTGTTGTTGTTACACAGCTACATCAGACCTGCTTTCTCTAAAATAATCTCACCCATTTCAATCTCCCTATGCCCTGTAACGATCCTGTCCTGGTCTGCAAAATGTGATGTTCTGTACCTTACATCACATAATTTGACTAAATGATTATACTCATGAGAGTGGGGGATTGGCACAGTAAACAGCATTAATACTCACAGTTTCCCCCATCACTCATTTTTAACATCTGTTGATTAAAACTACAACTACATAAAAATATTGAACTTTGCAGCAACAGGGTAAAACATATTTCTTACTCTAAATTATATTTTATTTCTACCTTTTTCTTTAAAGGACCCCTTCTCTATCACTGACTAAATATAATATTTCATATTATATTTAATGTTTACAATAACAGTAGAGAACAACTGATAAACTGCCCAAATACTGCAGGAAGTTTGAGTTTTCCTGATATTTTTAGGAACTTTTTATACCATTATCTGTCTGTATTATGTTTTGTAAACAATCCTACGTACTTAATAGGCTTCTTTTTTGACAAATTCATTGTTTTCTTCTCCATGAATCTTGGCCATTGTTCTGTAGTTCTGCTTGTTTTAAATGTGTACTTTTCTAATGCAGGACAAGACTGACAAGTTTAGATCTTAAATAATAATCTAATCTTTAAAAATAACAATTTTATTTATTTTTATTTACAGAAATGAGTGAAATGCTGAGATACAGGCCTACTGTGTATATTTTTTGTTTTCTTACACCCCTTGAAATCAAGAAGGCCCTTGCAACCCCCTGTGAAGCTTTGGCTACCCCTAGTGGGGGTCCCCTGGGAACCACTGATTTAATATATTGGTTTTGGTCTTTTTTGTAGTAACCGTTGACAATAATACAAATATAGAATAATTCCAGCCTTATCCTTTAACTTGTAATAATTATTATATATTATATATATATTTATAAAGGTTCTTGAAGGAACCACTGTGTTTGTTGCAGCTTCAATCAGTTAGCTCTCTGCAGTGTTGTAGATTAAAAACAGTTAAAAGATGTATCAGAAAGTTGCTGTATCTAGTCTTTTCTTATATGCAGTATATATATAGTAAACATATTTTATCACCAGCTTCAATATATAAATATCAGTTCTGGCCATCAAAAGCACAAAACCAAATTTCCTGTACTGCTGTTTTTTCTTTGGTAACTATTTGTCTGACTGTCACTGCTAGCCATGCCTTTCCATAATACTGTCACATTCTCAGTCATACACATTCCCATTTCATACACACATCATGCTGCCCCATAACAACAGTCTGTAAGGGACTAAAACACACACATAACTATACCCATCTTCCATTTTGTGCATCTGATAGAGTCTTGCTCATTTAAGAATTGTGTCCATGAATCATAACTCATTACCATTCCCTTCTCTCATCTGTCCATCCTTCTCCCCATCTCTCTCTGTCTGCCCATCAGAGCCCGGTCTTCACTTTCAGCCAATCAGAAGTCACCCCCACCTCCGCTTCCTCCTCCAAAGACCCCAAACCAGGAAGTGCCACCACCTCTCGGCCTACCCGCCCAACGCCAGACCCAAAAACACAAACCCTGCCCTCAAAGGGCCCCACTGACCGGCCCCAGCTCCATTCCATGAAGTCCCTCCCTCTCCAGACTCCACGCTCCCCTTCCCCATCCCCCTCCCCACTCCTCTCCCCCATCCCACGCTTCTTCAACTTCCCCTCTCCTTCTGTCTTCAAGTCCAAGAACGTACACTCGTCCTCTAACTCCTCTGCAACCCCTCCTCCTGTGTCACAGGTCACGCCGCAGGGCTCACCGCTGCCCACCCCGCTGGGCACGCCTGTGCACCAAATCCAACACCCTTCCTCCACCACCCCTCCCTCCTCCTCCTCCTCATCTTCTTCTTCCAGAGCGGACGGAGCCGGCGGGGCCTCGCTGTCGCTGACCCCGCCCTCCAGCCCGGGTGGCAGTGGCGGTCTGGCCGCCTCGAGTTCCGCCCACTGGAGAACAAGGCTCAACTCGTTCAAAAACAACCTTCTGGGCTCGCCGCGCTTCCATCGGCGCAAACTGCAAGGTGGGTGAAGTATTTTTAAAAAACCAAGTGAATGATGTAGTGTGCATCCTCTCCACTAATTGGTTGAGAAATATTTTCTCCACCAATGTGAGTTCTCCTACTCTGCATTCACATCCAAGATAGAATCTATAATTATCAATAGACTTCCACAGCCCCAGACTGCAGCCTGCGGCTGTGTTGAGTAATGTCTGATTCTGTGATAATCTGTAATTAGGACAATTAAATTAGGGCCTGTCATCAAGATTCACTGCCCTTTTCCTTCTTCTCTCCTCTCACTCTGTCTGTTTTTCTTTTTTTTTAGTACCAACATCAGAGGACATGTCCAGTTTGACTCCAGAATCCAGTCCAGAGTAAGTCCACACATGTCTTCAGTGACAAAACCCTCTCTCCACAAGGTCCATTTAGTAGTGGCTCTGGAGTTGTCTTGCGTCCCTGCTCCAAAACAGAGCCAACTATTGTTTCCAGGGTTGAGACAAAACTTGTTTTAATTCACTTTTTCATTATCCTGGTAGTAGGATGAATTGACACAAAAAAAAAGTGGTGTTATTTTAGAAAAGCTATTATCTCACATTCATCCATTTAGACAGTGTCTGTACCACTGCAGGTAGATTCACAGAACACTGTGCACAAAACCAATTTACAGCTTAACTCTTCCAAAATATTTCTTTCACAGCATTAGCTGAAATTATTTACAGTTGAACACAGTTCATTTTAAAGAAGAAAAAAAGGAAAGAAAAGTAAAAATAAATAAAGAGTGAGCTGTTAGATGTGATAGAAAATAATATAAATCATGTTAGATTTCCACTCTTTCATTCTATCAAGTTAGCTAAAGTCTGGCCATATAGATTTATTGTATGAGAGCATTTCCAACATATATATTTCATGTATTATCTGTATCCATTCACTAATAGTGGGTGGCTTTGATTTTAGCCACCTCCTAGTGACAGCCTTTTTATGAAACAGTTCTTAAAAGTATGATTTAAAGTGGCTATAATTAATATTCTTATATTCACAATGGATCACACGAGTACATGTAAGTTAAAGGAGTTGAGAACCCAATGTTCAGCTAATTATTATGGTTTTCTGTCATGTAACGTTCCTGTTTTTGGGTCAGTCTCACCGCTGTCATCAGCTTTATTTCCAGCAGCAGCAAACAGCAGTTCTTAGTAAAAAAGTGCTGATAAACCCACACATTATCTGTCCAGCACCAAACGGCAGACAAAGTTAGCAACTAGCTGGTAAAACAGTGGAGCATTTAGCAGCTAAAGAGCCTGATATTGTCCTCAGGAGTTGTGGAGAGCAAAAGAAAGCTAAAATAAGAGTGAATACTTATAAAACATAACTACAAATCAATGCTAATGTTGCTCTGTATCTCACACTACACGTTTTTGTATATTTTCTATTAGGATTAATGGAGGATAGCGTTAGTGCACTGGTGTCAGCATCAGCTCTTTCATTCATGCTTCAAAATCATTGGCTCATTTGCCAGCTGATTGGCTACCAGCTGGTCAGTAGCCTCCAATCATAGCCATACCAGTCTAATTTTTCCATTTTCTGTTATGAATTATGTATGTGTTTGTTAAGGGGACATTCATTCTCGTCACTGCTCTGATTTTTCCAGCTAAATTTAATAGTAATGGACAAAATTCTATAAATAGTCAGTTCCTTGACGTGAGTATCTCTGACTGAACACTCTGTCAGTCACTACAGGCCAGTTAAAAATAACACATCCAACCCAAATATTTTGTATACTAGTTCATTTCTCCCGTCTGTGGAATGTGTGAACAGAACTAATGTGTCGCACATCAAACTTGCTTATTTGCAGATTGGCTAAGAGGTCCTGGTTCGGTAACTTCATCAGCCTGGAGAAAGAGGAGCAGATCTTTGTTTTGATTCAAGACAAGCCGCTCAGCTCTATCAAGGCTGACATCGTCCATGCCTTTCTCTCTGTGAGTACGGTCGAGCTTAGATAAGCCTCAACAACCTTCAGCATTACCATTTGTGGCGTTTAGGGGAACTGATTTAAGATTTTATCTTTTTTACCGAGCATCACCTTTTTCTTTTGCCTGTCCAGATCCCGTCCCTCAGCCACAGCGTGGTGTCTCAGAACAGTTTCCGGGCAGAGTACAAGTCCTCCGGCGGTCCCTCTGTCTTCCAGAAGCCTGTCAAGTTCCAAGTATTATTACCTTTTTGTTTTTGTTTTTTGTTTTTTTACAAGTTTTGAGTGTTTGTAATGCAATGTAGGCATCCTCAGTGCCTGTAATGGACCACAAAAGTGCCAGTACCCTAATTCAGTACAGCGCTAACCCTAAACACATCATTACCCTAACCCTAACTCTTTTGGCATTTTTTATCCTTTTTAACAAGGACATTTTCAGTACTGTTTTCTTAGCGTTAAGCTATCTATATGTTGACACAGACACAGTTACGCAGTTGTTTAGGAGTACCTCACTAGCACTGCTGTGTGCAAGGTTTAGAAATATAGAGGTCCAAATACTGAACTTGCTAGGGGGGGTTTAGGCAATTATTTTATAACTTTTATTGTATACCCCTTGGAAAAAATAGCGATGACCTCAGTGGTCGGTACGGCCATGCTCACCAGAGGTAGGCGGTACTCAATAAAACATAAGGGTTCTGATGTGGACAAAAATCTGAATTGCCAGTACTCAGTATTGGTGAGTACTGGCCTATTTCAGGCACTGGGCATCCTATACATGAAGATTCAATAATACAGATACGCAATTTACATCTAATTCTGGTATACAATGTAGATACAGTACTTGGGAACTCCTACTATGAAGCAGCTTTAGAGAAAATTCATGAATAATTCTTGGTTCAAGCTGCAGTTTTCAGTCAGTGGATGTATGTTTGCACACATATTTCATCAAATATGCACCCATGTAATCAAATGTGCAAATAATTTTATATTGCAGGCTTTTTTGTTCTGGTCTGAATTTACACATACATTGGTTAACAACTGAGAGCTGCTTATTTAATTTATTTTGCAGCTTTATCCTTAAAGCCACTATGTGTAGAATTTGAAAATGTACAACTTTGGTGCCCCCCAGAGGTAGAATCAACAATCCAACAGATCCAACCCACGGACGCTGAAACAAATGGATGGAAAGAACACACAGACCAATAATAATCACATAGAGGCTCTAATGTGAAAAACATAACTAACAATCTTTGATGTTTGTGTGTGAGAAAAAGTTGAGTAATTTTGGTTCTGAACTCCAGCATGTGTGGTCCTTTGCTCCTGTAGGTGGACATTGCTTTCTCTGAGGGAGACAGGGAACGAGAAAGGGAACGAACAGAGAGGGAAGGAAGAAGAGAGCTGGGCATCTACAGCGTAACTTTCACTCTAATAACAGGTATCAGTTTTATTGGCTGTCATACATGTTAAACGTACTACAAGGAGTTTTTAACTAGTTATGAAAAAGTTTAATACTGATGCCTCTATATGACCAAACAAGACCATCTCCGAGAAGACATGCTATTTCTGTATAGTTATTCTTGATGCCTGCCACCGGGTCATATTCCTCTTAAAATCAATGAAATGAGACACTACTGCTTTTGTCCACAGGGGTCGCCAGAATCAACACAAAATGAAAGTTCCTTGTAGTTGCTTTAAAGGACCAGTGTGTAGGATTTTGTGGCACTAGTGGTGAAATTGCAAATTGCAACTCCTACACATCACCTTCCCCTTCCAAGGGTGAAGGAGAAGTTATGGAGGTAGAGAAAGGCGCGTAAAACGCAAAACAGCCCTATGGAACTGTAGAAACGTGGCGGTTCAACATGGAGGATGACCTGAAATGAGTGATGAGTTGATCCTCTCCTCTTGCAGGTCCCAGTCGCAGATTCAAGAGAGTGGTGGAAACCATTCAGGCTCAGCTCCTGAGTACTCATGATCAGCCTTCTGTGCAGGCACTGGCTGGTAAGTAGCTCACACACCTTTACTTCTGGGGACATTACATAGACTTGCATTCATTTCCACCTATCCATCCCTAACCTTAACCACTGACCCAAAAATCAGCTTTTTACAAATTAGGGACACGGCTTTTGTCCCCAATTGAACAAGCTGTCCCCAATTAACTAGTCTTCATGCTTGTAGCCTGAATCAGTCTGAACACACCCACAGTACACAAAGTTGTTTGTTTCACTTCCTCTCTCCCTGATTGTACCCCTGGCCCCCCAGATGAGAAGAATGGTCAGCTTTCCCGCCAGCCCAGCACTCCTTCGCGTCAGAATTCCCGGCGTTCCGAAAGCGGATCTGAGCGAGAGCGGGGAGAGAAGGAGCGTGCAGCAGATGGTGGAAGTGGAAGTGGGAGCAGCAGCGGAACCGCCTTACAAAGGCGAGGGTCGGGGAAAGACAAGACCAGACTCCTCTCATCGTCCAACGGGACACAGTCTCATCCCTGAAAAGAATGTTGTGGAAGAGAGGCGAGGATCATCTGCCTGGCCCTTTTCTCTTCTTTCCCTCAATACTTCCCACATTCTTTCCATCCCTATTTCCTAATTCCTGCCTCGCTTCTTACCATTATTCCAAAGCAATGGGATGTAGGAGGGGGAAGTTTTTCCTTGAAGCTGATCCAGGGATATGATAACTCCTGCAAGTGGCTGATTTTAGCAGAAATGTATACTTGCGGGGGTGGCGGAGGCAGGTTGAGCTGATCTCTAGTCAGCCTTCAAGGGCAGCTTCACCCCGGAAGGACCGATCTGAAGACAGGACGTCCAGACTAAGTCCCAACTTACCAGAAAAATACAAGAAAAGCTTACAGCCAGGGAAACACACTGTTCACCCTCTCTGATGAATCAAAAAAGCACATGCCCTTCCCACCGACCAATCACATGCAACACATGGTCCAAATTCAACAGGAAAACCTCCCATCAGTCTGTTGAAATGGCACAGGCCCTTAAGTCATTCTCTAATATCATTTTCTGACCAGCCAGCTGTCACCGGGATCATCAGGTCTCCTCAACACCACCTGCCCAAACACGTTGAGTCACATGACAGGAAGCTCTCCTCTCTTCCCCTCACTTTCTAATTGAAGACAACTGTGTATTCTCAAGCAAAGCAACAAAATTAGGTTGTCTTTCGAGAAAGGAATGAGAATGACAGGAGGAGTCTTGATATAGACTTGATTGTTAAAGTGGATATTATTTCTTAATAATTAGCAAACCTAATGCTGTACTTTAACAATCAAAGAGTCTGAGAGCAGAGGAAAAAAAACAACAAAATGATGGAGAATGGATCTGACGTGGTCTACGTAATGTAGCCTTAGAGCTAGGGGTATATCGAAATAAGACAGACAAGACACAACTTTTCCTAGTATGTATGAGCAGCAGAAAGTCCCACAATTATTTCTGAATTACACTGATAAAGCTATGATACCGTATTGCCTTTTATGGAGGAGAAAAAGTGGATAGCTAGTTAGATTTAGCCCCATTTTGAGGACACTAGTCACACCACAGGTAGAATGTCTCACAAGTGAAAACTCCTAGTAGAGAGGGAGATGAATAGATAGATAGATAGATAGATGGAGACAAAACAGAGGTTAGCTAGAAACTAAATACATTTGGTAGCGAAGGAAGGAGAAAGGAAAAAACTAGTAGTCAGAAACTTAAGCTATGTTCTGTTAAACAATAGGTTGTTAATACAACATTCATACAACATATGTACATTGAAATAGTTATTGTTTGGTCTAGTTCTTCCTCTTCTATCTATACTGGCTGGAAAGCAATCCCTTCAAGTGTGAATCCACTGTGAAAGATAGGGGCCAAAATCCACAGTCCGTGAATTTGTTTAGCTGAAGCTAATATGAGGATTTAGCAGTCTGAATTAGTCTAACTAGCTAGCAACAGCAAGCCTGTCAAACTTTGTATTTCTCTACATGTTGACGTGGTGGGCTGGGCTGTAGCAGAAGAGATACTCACCTTTTTTTCAGGCTACTTTTAGCTAAATTAGTGTGTATATAGCTATCAATATACAAGTATTATACTTTAATAGTTCTGATGTTAAAATTAGTCTGAGTTTTCTATCAACTCAGCTAACATCTAGCTGATTTTGTTGCCAGCTAGAAAATAATAAGCCTGTTTTTTGTTTGTTTGTTTTCTGTAGTTCTTTTTAGCAAGTGGGAGATATTATTACAAACTAAATATCGCTGACTCAGAATTACTCTTTTTCTTTTAAACCGATAATACCGTCTGGTCAATATGATGCAAATGTGGCACAAGCCTACGTACACATTTAATTTGGCTAACTCAGCCTCCTCAGAGACCTAATATTTTAAACTAATTACTTAGTAGCTAATTAGCTTCAGCTGAACTTTAAAGTAAATATTTGCACTGCATATTATGTCTCCTATCTCTTATATTGGAGTCACTTTAAGAAGGGATCACTTTGTAGCCAGCGTGGAGAGGAGGAATGGTTACAGTGACCAATAACTCTTTCAGTGCACAATATCGGTATGTGAATATTGTATGTATGAAAAACTTCCAAATCTAGCCTAACTGAGAAGAGAATTAATGTCCATATAATTACATTAAATTGAAGATGGATGATGCTGGAAATGTGTAATTAAAATAAAGAGGCTGATCAAACAGGACAACCAAGTTTAGGCTTTTTGTACCTGAAATTAGGCAACCGAAACCCTTCCTATGTTCCTTTGACAATAGATGCAGAACGATGCAGGGCGACTCAAAGCCCCAACAAAAGCCTCAGCTCTTTCTGCCTCGCAGATGGAGATGAACAATTAATGTACTTTTCACAAAAAGGAAAACAAGAAAAGCAAGAAAGAAAAAGGACTCGGGTGTGTCTATCACAAAAACTCTGCACACATACTGTCTGGAGGGGGGAAAGGAAAAATGAAGCCACACATAAAGAATGAAATTTAGCTTGTTTTATTTTTTCTATCCATACCTTCATTTTTAACTGTGCTCTGGTCTTTCTGTGTCTGTTTTTTTTTTTATGTTTACGTGTTTGCCACCAGCAAAATAGAGGGCGGCGCCAACCATGTGATTGTCAACAAACTTTTTTGAAATTATTACAAAACATATTTTTTGTTCCATATGTTTATTGAAAATGTATTTATCTATTTATTTGCCATGTATTTGTTGAAAGTATAATATATATTTTTTTTTATGAGAAGCAGGAGGCAGGTGAAGACAGGGAAATGTCCCTTTCAAGATGTCCGACACTGCAGAGCTAACCAGCTTTCTCTGAGAAAAACTGAAAAACAGCTCCCCTCCTTCTTCTTTAAACTTATGAAAACTGATGCTGCAAAAATACTTTCCATCTTTGTATTTTGTTCATAGCTGCTGGAATTTCACACCCACACACACACACACATACACACACACACACACAGGCCTTTTAAATTATAAGTCTTTTTTAGCCAGGCTAGTGACGTGCCTCTAGGAATGGCAATGTCGGTTTGTTGGTTGGTCCACCACTTCAGTGCAAACTGAAATATCTTTGCCGATATTTTATTATTTATTATTATTTATTATTAACAATGTATACTATCCTTCGGACTTTGGTGATCCCTTGACTTTTCATCTGGCGCCATCATCAGGTCAAAATTTGTCCAGTACTTTGGTTTATGAAGAAGTAAAAACTGCAAAACTTGACATTTCCATCAGCCTCAGTTGCACTTTGTGTTTAGAGCTAAATAGCAAATGTTAGCAGGCTACCAAGTTAAGATTATACCTGGTAAACATCCACATGTGAACATTGCCTTTGTGAGTGTGTTAGCATGCTGACATCAGCATTTAGCTCAAATCACTTCAAGTGCCACTCTCGCAGAGAAGCTAGCATGGCTGCAGACTCTTAGCCTTGTTGCTAAATAATTCATGGACAGTGACTGTAAACACAAATGTATTTTCTTGTCATATTCCTTGTGAAACACTGTTTATTCATGCAAACTAACATTCCACTGAAACCATTACACATTCCGGATTGACTTTCAGTGGTCTCTTCACAGGCTGCGCATGAAACAGCTGAACAAGAATGGAAAGAAACAGTACTCATTTGCAGTTTTATCAGGCATTTTCTTTACTTTTTTAGTCTTTCAGAAATTTCTAAAAAGCTGGAGAATGTGTAATATCATCCTAGAATCTGTTTACACAAGATTACATTTGTTTTGTTTGCACATCCAAATGCAGAATAAACATGTCTGATAAGTTCATAGCCACAGGTGAGGTTTCGGCATGGTTTCGAAATAGCTTTAGAAAGCTCTGGGGAAACTATTTGCCTGTTCTGCTTGACAGTGTTCGACTTTTAAGTTGAACAGCACTCTCAGTGGACAAATGAGTAGCTACAAATGCATTTTCCCCCCTCATGCAATCAGAGGCTTTCTTTTCCCATCCTGCCACTCAGAGTGGGCCCCTTACACATCTGAAAGGTCAAAGGCCAGGGAGGTTTAAAGTGACACACTCCAATACCCAAAAGAGAGTGTTATGTCATAGTCTTTAAAAAAAAACACACAAGGTCGGGTCAAGTTCACCTTACATCTATTTTTAGAGAGAAAGAGTTAGTTAAAGGATAGAAATGGGAAAAGCAAAGAAAGAAAGGCCGCTCCGAATTGTGCTCTGCTCTGAGCAAACTGCATCAAAATCCATTCAAAGACACAACGGGACCCTCAGCATGTTTGCAGCTGAGAGGCTCCCGCGCTCGCAAAAACTATTGAAATAAATCTCCCCCCTCCCTCCCCCCATTCCTCCTTTACCCCCCACATTCACCCATTCACTTAACATTTTCTACACCCCTCCATTCCTCTTCTTTGTATCTCTTGAATCTTGCTCCACGCCCATCCCAACTGCACATATGTCACCCCCTTATATAATCGTCCCCTCCTCCCCTGCCCTTGTATACGTTTTATACACTGTATACTTCAACGCCGATGCTGTATACATTTGTATACACTGTATGCCTGTCTCTGTCTCCATTGTATGCCATCCATATCTATGTAGCGTTCACTATCTTTTATCGACACTGTAGTCACCGTACATCTCTTCCTCTCATCATTATTGCTCATTCTTCTTCTGCAGTTAGAATTGTACGACTATAATCTCTTGTCTCCCGCCCATATTGCCCTCCTCCCTCGCCCCGAGCCCCCACAACCCGCCCATGACCTGCACCCCCCATCTTGTGAAACCTCCACGACTCCGCGGTAGAAAAAGTTTTTCTTTTCCACTGTGGAGGAATTTGTGACGTCAGAAGAGAGAGAGAGAGAGAGAGAGAGGAGGAGGTGTGTGGGGGAGGGTGGGTCGAGAAAACTGCTAACACGATTAATGATGATGACAACAACGACGAAGAGAAAATGTCTGTAGTATAATTACAAAAAAGGAAAAGTGCACTATTATGACAATGATTATTATTGCCTGTGAGAAATACTGACCAATAAACAACAATGGAAATATATGTGGGTGTTTGTGTTCTGTTTTATGATACACAAAAATGTTCAGTGATTATTTTTACTGGTGGCAGAATTCTTATTCTAGTTGTCCTGGTTCATATACAGACTGTACAAAGAGCTGTAGATGACTCACTGAAACTTGCCTTAAACCATTTAAGTTTGTTAACTGTCAGGAATCTTGGAGTTATCTTTGATCAGGATTTGTCATTTAATTCCCACATAAGCGATCTCTAGGACTGCCTTCTTCTTCTTCTTCTTCTTCTCTTCTCTGCCTTTATGTAATATTACAAAAATTAAGACATCCTATCACAGACAGATGCAGAAAAACTAATCCATGCATTTGTTACTTCTAGGCTGGATTACTGCAACTCTTTATTATCAGGTTGCCCTAATAAGTCCATTAAAACGCTCCAATTAATTCAAAACGCTGCAGCACGAGTAACTGACAGGAACTAGGAAGAGAGTAACAATATAACAGGTGAGTCCTGAACCATCCCTTAGTTATGCTGCTATAGGCCTAGCCTATCGGGGGATTTCCCATGATGCACTGAGCTCCTCTCTTCCTCTCTCTCTCTTTCTGCACTCATTCATGTCTCATTAATGCATGTTACTAACTTCACTTCTTCCCCGGAGTTCTTGTGCTTTATCGTCTTGCAGGTTCTAGTTCTCATGACCGGTGGAGTCCTGCCATGGTCCTGCTAGACTGCCATTGCTAATATCCACTGATACTTATTTGTTATTATTATTTAGTTGTTTTGACTATTGTTGTTGCTGCGGTTGCTGTTGTCTGCTCTCGCTGTCCCCTGTCGTTGCTGCCTGTCGCCGTCGTCACCGTTCTTTTTCATGATCGTCATCGATGCATTACTGTTAATGTAGTTGTTGCTCTTTGTTGCTCGTACATCTGTTTGTCTCTCTTCTCTCTCCTGTCTCTCTCTCTTTCTCTCCCACCAAACTGGTCAAGGCAGATGACCACCCACCTAGAGCCGAAGGTCTGTCCGAGTGTTTTGCCTGTTAAAAGGCAGTTTTTCCTTGCGCCCGTCGCCAGTGCTTGCTTCATGGTGGTACTGTTTGTGGCTCTCTGTAAATGTTATAGGAAGTTCGGTCTAGGACTGGCTTATTTTGAAAAGTGTACCTGAGATAACTTCTGGTTATGACATTGGGCGCTATAACAAATAAGAATTGAACTCATTTTTAAATGTTTATGAATTTACCAAGTCAGAGACAGAGAGAATCAGGTACAAGTCAAGTCTAAAGTCCTCATTTTTTTAGGCCTGGCTTGAGTCCAAGTCTACAGTCTGCTGTAGATAAGATTCAGACTGTTACCATGAATCTGTAGTCATGGGGTATTTACATGGCAGCCTTAATACAGTCTCCAACAGTTAAGCTACAGATCAGTCATATGACCAGAAAGGTAGAACTTGGGATTTGTAAAGTAAACAGAATCTGTCCACTGCACTGTACTTTTTCAGCCAGGTGTTGAGCTCGGGGCTATAATCAGCCACTCATCCAATTTACGTCAACAGCCTGCTAATATTTGCAATACTCGAGGCTTTTGTTTTTGTGTTGACCTTTCTAAACATCTGTGGCAGGCAGGGTGGAGTGAAGCACTAATTGGGGCGATGGCCTCAAACAATGTGCCAACGAGGCCCGGCGGGTTTCCATCCCAAACCAAACAGCACGGCACATGATTTCCCTGATTAGCTTCCCTTCGCGGCTCAAGGTGCTAATCAGTCAAATCAGATGCTGTAGTGTTTGGCAGCAATGAAAAGCTGCAGACTCCCGGGTCTCGATGGCACATGATTGGAGATCAGTGGATGAGGAGGTGGTGGAGGAGCGGGGGTGCGGTGGGGGCGACACATCAGTGCGACGGTGTTCACCTGCTCCTAATTAACCCTCCTCTACACACAGTGTGTTCCTGCCTCAGCAGGGGCTGTTTGTGGAGTCTCAAACATCATACAGCACGTCAATCACTGGGAGACACCAGCTACGTTTGAACTGTCTGTGCTGATGGTTGCAGTCGTAACCTTGGTGCTCAAGTACCCTGGGTTTGATTCAACAAACCTAGTGTTGTTACTCAGAGTAACAGCCATGTTTATTCTCAACACAAAGTCTGGAACACTTTCAGCGCTGTTGTTTCATTAGCAGTAAAATGTAGCAAGTAGCAGCATTTTCCTACTTTGTTTGCTGTTGAACTGTTCTATTCGATGGAATTTGATGAAATAGTTATAAATGACATCGGTGGCTGTCATGTGAACGGCAGTCAGCATTTCTGGTTGCTTGCACTCACACCTCCAAAAGGAGGCCAATTTTTCCAAGTAGGTTGGAAAAACATGAAATGCACACAGGCTTCAATAGATGAATCTTTTTTTTTGTGCTTAAGTGGACTTGCTTACCTGTTTCTAAGCTAACGCAGCTATTGTTGCACACTGTTGGCGCTGCAGGCAGTGCTCTCAGGAGCGCACAAAAATGCTCTTGACATAGAAATCAGTCCACAGGCTGCTTTAGGCAAACAAGAAAGTCTGGGAAGGTCTCGGTTTTTAAGTTACGTTACAATCCGTTCACACATTGGCAATACAAAGTGGCTAATATGTGTAAATTGTTTTACACAGTACCTTTACGAACCTTAAGAAGAATGGTCAAAATCGATGCAGCAGATTGACTTTTAGTCCGTAGTAAGTCCTGTGGCTCCTACATCTCCCATTATCCAACTTATAACTATACAACCATGTCATTACTCTTTTTACCAGTGTCCAACTTGTAAATATGTTTAAACCGACATCTAAGTCCTAAATATGACTAAGAAACTCCGGGTTGTTTAAAAAAAAAATCTTGGATAAGTCTGAAAAAAGCAAATATTTCAATTCAAATTCAATGTCCCTGTTTGTAACACAGGCTCTCTGTTATAAATGTGTAGTCTAACAAAATGAACTCCTCTGGTTTATTTACCAATGAGGTTGTAAACCAGTAATGTGATCACCATAGATCCTACATATGCAAATCATCCGTTTAGATCATTTCATCTTAACTCAAACATAAACCTACAATCTTTCAAAATAAATCAGCAAAAGCAATTTCTTTTTAAAACACGGTATACTCAAGTCTCTTCCATCTCTTCGTATTTATGGATAATGCCAA